GCAGAGTCTGGTATCGAAGCTGTCCCTTGCGAATTTTTTCGGAAATCCCTCACTGAGTAATATGCAAGATAAGGATGAGAAATAAAGGGTACAAGGCACTGTGAAGGGAACAGTTCTCAGACTAGTAAATCCAAACAAAAAAGGCGATTAAGCATATTTCTCTCTCAATCCTTTTATATTATAAAGGAAAAAGGAGCTTCTTTTCCTCCTCTTCAGTGGACTTTTTGTCCCCATAATACTGGAAAAGATCGCACGCTGTGGGGATACGATATAAGCCTATAAATGATAGCGGCGGTGATGTGCAGAATAGGAAGCTAATATGAAAATATTCTCGAGATTGGTATAGTCAGCCTTGCTCTTTACTTCCCCTCATCCTTCCCTACCTCATGGAATCGTGTGTCAAACTCGACAGTATTATTTAGAATCATGCAGTAATGCTGCAAAGGTGTGTGGAGGTACACCGTTACACCAGTGCTACACGGTATACCCTTCAACAATGACTCAATGGCTGGCAGACGAGTGTCACCACACATCACATGAATGATGCAACCCGGAGACTCCTCCTTGGCCATGCTAATGAGTGCACAAATAAAATGAGCTGGGTCCAGTAAATCATCCATGATCACTTCTTCCGCGTAAATTTGGCTTGCAGCAATAAGAGAAGGATCGTCATGACAGCTTTTCACCGCTTTAATCTCGCAATACGCCACCCTAGACAGTGTCTTTTCATACTCCAGTGAATCCACGCCGTCGATGCGAATATGAAGGATGCTTTGTAAAAGTGACTCTTGCTCTTGCGTGCTGAGTGAGGAAGTATCCACAATTGTCAACATAGGGGAAAGATGCAAAGACTCAGTGGACCACCACACTACAAACTCCGGCTCTACCTCAAAAAGATCCCGTACACCAGGTTTGTCTAAAAGGTTGGACCAGTTGTCCTGGAAAGGGCACACATTCGCCGGCAGAAGAGCAGCAACATCTGCAAAGTCGGTCCAAATAGGTAGCTGCTTGCCTCGATTTAGTAAATCCAGCGCGTTTTTCAGTGCGAATGCAGTGTCGCTGGCACCTTCCTTCGCGTCGCTCCTCACGTTCTTGATGCCCGTAGAAAAGTCCGCACAATCTTCTAGTATAAACAGGCTGTTACGACATCGGTTGTAGTAAAGCGGTTCACCATTCACCGCGGAGCGAGTGATTAGTAGAAGATCATGAAAATGCTTGCACAACCACACCGAGAGGTTGCTCGCGGGCAACGCGGGAGACCGTCGCTGCAGGTGGCTCACAAAGTCCGTCTCCGTGACACCCTCAAAAGGGAGTTCCGCAGCCACCTCGCGCAGCGTCGTGGTCCAGTCAAATGGAACGATCAGGTCGTCTTCAGTCCCACTGAGGGCCGTCCTCGCGGAGTCGCCTGGCGCCCGGTAGTAATGCGGGCTGACCAGCCCCCACAACTCACGGAGTAACGCAGCCCGAGATTCATCCAAATCCTTAAGCGGCATGGAAGAAGACATAGAGGGAAAGCTACCACATAACGATGGAAATCCTCGTGCCAACAGACGCTGCTCGAAATAACTTCGAAGCGCCCCACCTTTGCAGTTCCACAACTCTTCGATAAAAGCGGCGCACAAGCCATCACATACGCGATTCATCTCATTTTCTTGCAAAGACAACACTTGATCATCGCTGTTGCCACGAAGGTCGCCTACTCTCGATAGTGTTGTGGCTTGAAGCACAAGACCACTAGTGGATACAAGTGTTTTGAGAGTCCTCTTAAACATCTAAACAAAAAACGTACTAGATATATTCTAACGTGTGTATCTTTATTAGGTGCAATTGTGCGATGGCCTCCAAAGTTAACACAGCAAAATTTTACAAGAAATGTTCTTTGAGTTATGTATGACGATAAAAATCAAAGTAAAAGGATGCAACATATATGTTTAAATAAAAAATTTCTCCCACACTCTACTTCCCTATATAGTAACATTAGCACTAGCGCCATTGATCTAGGGATTGATCAGCAAAGCAGCTAAAATTATTGTTCCCTTATATTACTTGGTATCAATAATTCAACCAGTAGTTAATTTAGAGATTAAATTATGTTTTATTTTAGAAATAATGTATTATCCTTGAAAAGCAAACAGTGCTTTCCTAGCACTCCCTCCTCCCTCATTAGCCTTTCGTTTTTTTTTTATGAAACCTCCAGGATTACTGTATTGACCTGGTTTGTCTACCTATGATAATTCCTCAAGGCTGTATTTCCAGAGTTTGCGTTTAATCTCATGCACCAGTGCTGCAGATACTGTAAAAGAGACTACCTCGGAGCCCTTAACACTCTCTACCACGTCATGGATCTGCTTGAAGAGCTCCTCTCCAACTTGCTTCTCCAGTACTGCGCGGGCGGCAGGCACCTTGACCTCTGGGTTGCTCAATCGAAAAGGATTTTTTACCGTCAACCGAAACCGCACTAAGCTATCTGGCATTGCAGCCGCCTTTCCTAATCTCTCTGCTTTGTCTTGGGATATGGAAGATGAGGACTCAACTGTGGGTTTGGCGGGCAAGATTAAATTTCGAAACATAACGTGCGCCGATTTAAGGACAGAGTCCATGACATTCTCGTCCATGTTATCATACAAAACAATGCATCGGCCACCACGATTGACACGCGCGGTACGGCCGGCGCGGTGCACAAAATTTTCCACTGCCATATTACCCATTGGCATAGACAACATAAGGACGGTGTTTGTGTCTACAAAATCTAGCCCTCGAGCGGCTATGTCCGTACACAACAGTACTGAAGCAACTTTTTGGTTGAAATCCTCCATATTCGCTATGCGCTCCACCTCATCCTTGTCCGAAGTGAGAGTGCGAACAACTAAAGGTGGCATTCCCGTGAAAGTCATTTGCGCACACCGCTGAAGTGTCTTCTCCAACGCCTCTACCTGTTTATGAGAGCCGAACACGACGACACGACCAAAAAGATCGATGTGCTCACTTAGCAGCTGCGTCGCCACATCCACCCGTTTAGATAATGGGCATCTATATTTGAAGCATTCTAAACCACTTGGTAGTTTGTCTCCACCAACGGCGACAAGTTGATAATAATACTTCTTCACACCAAGGAATCCCGCCTTTATGACCCAGTTGGGAATCGTGGCTCCACACAGAACATAGTGATGGACACGAAAGTCATGCAAATTTCCCTTCCTCAGTGATCCATTCGCCTCGCGAATGAATTTAAAAAGGTTCTTGATACGACGCCCAACATTAGAGAAGCGTGGACCCAGGGTCGCATCCACCTCATCGATGACGATGGCACGCACGTGAGCCGCACAAACCCTGCCGTGTTCATCGCGCTTACCCAGGTCAACGCCCGTGGCTGCCGCACTGCCTGTTGTCTGTCCATCTCCATCGTCACTTTCCTCAGATTCGGTTGAAGATTTCACTTGGTCACCACTGTCGTCATCGTGGCTGGTCTTATGGTGCTCCCTTTTCGTGTTCATCACCTCATTCCTACGGTGCTTTGACAAAGCAGTCTTGGAGTCAGCGTCTCCATACCTTTGTCTACGCCGCGATTTACTGTCCTTCACAACACCAGCACGATCATGCCGCTGCTCAGGACGGTTCCTGTCGATTGCCTCGCCTTCGTCTGAGGCTTCAGTCGCAGTGTGCCTGCCTCGAATAGCCTCATCAAGACAGCGTACAGTACCGATAAGAATATTGTACACCGACCATGACGTGTCATCAAGGCCTGCAATGCCTATACTTAAGGTTGGGTAAATCTTCGCGAGTACACCCTTGGTTTGCATAGCCAAATCGTTGCTAAAGACAAAGATAAGTAAGAATGGACCTTCTTGCTGCGCAGAATCTGTGGTCTGTGTGACACGGTGGCGAACTCCATAAGGCCTGGAAGAAGAACCTTCCTCATTGGCATCTACAATGAAATGACGCTCAATGATTGGAAGGGCATATGCAAGGGTTTTACCGCTGCCAGTTCGACTATGCAAAATAACATCTCGACTGTTAAAAATACCACGGTAGCATTGAGCCTGGCATGGCAGGAGTTCACTAAAACCCATTTTATGCTTCAGTGCATATACGGTCTCTGGCCTCATAAGAGAAACCTTCCGCTGGATGAGTGACGTTGCATCCTCCTGAGATCCATTTGGTGCATGTTCCTTGGCTAAAGGCAGGGATGCTGAATGATTGATTTGTTTCAATGAGTACTCTCTTTGCAGTCTTTCAAAGCTCCTATCAACGGATTCATCCGGACGAAAGACCACCGTGCCAGCCTTTTTGACCTTTTTGTGCTTATATGATGTTGAGTGCTCCCAGTTATACACCTTCATTGCCTTATGCAAACCAACTTTATATGTAGTTTCAATACTGTAGCAACGCTACCTGAGTGTGGTTAGTATGATACTTTAGTGCTTCAAAAGTCGAAGAGTTCTAAACTTTGCCAAATGAATAGAACAGTAATCATAAAATTTAAGAAAAATGATGTTATAGGATTTCAGAACATGTGCAAACGTATGTTGTAAGAGTATGTTGTAAGAAGCACCCATACATCAGAGTGACTGTCGGAAGCACGTCCTCTTTATATCGTACAAGCCCTCAAAAATTTACCCTAAACACCGTCTGCAGTGCTGCCAACAGACAAATTCAACCCAATACGAAAATTGTTTACATGCCGAAACTAAATCATGTGCAGGCCTTGCCCACCAATACTGCAGGACCTAGAGGCGGAAATATAACACTACAACAGTTTGAAGCGTGTGATTCCTTGATTGCTGAACCTAAACGCTCCACTGCATTTATAGTGATGAATTTAGACGTAGTGTTGCGGTTTGATAGATGCGAGAGGCTCCCCTAAGAAGTGGATCCACGTGGATGCGTATTTATACCGTACAGGCTCGGAAGCCATGGCCGTCTAAATATGTCCTGCCTCGTTCTACATCTTAACACATAGGGTTAGTGAAGTCTAGAAAACGCCTTCTTTCAAAGGTTTGAAAATTTAAAAAATTTCACGTCATCTGTGCATTGGCGCTAATGTGAACGGGTCTGTGCAACCTATACACATCACAGAAACATACACCAAAATTAGAAGACATCACAATAAATCTATTCGACGAGTAACAGTGGATTTTCATCCGGAAGAATCGAATAAAGTCAATGGAAATTGGTGGAAAGTTTTCTAAATCGGATTCAATACTACAGATTTTCTTATAATCATAAGTAAATAATTTGATCAAATGATTCAAGAAATACACTACTCGTTGCACCCATCAGATATAGGACGTCGGCCCTATAAGCAATCTCTGTTAATTGCTACAAGAATCTAATTTGCATTTATACAGTTAATTCCAAAGGAAAATTTTTTATTATATCTCCCGTGGAAGATTGCGATTATTCTAAAAGCTTGTAAAGTCGAAGATTCATGCACTGGTAGTGGTTCATCTTTTTATCTAAGCGCTCTCCAGGTTCCAAACTTTTACACAACTTCCCCTTGGTGTTCAGTTTAAACCAACTTTTGCATTCAACACAATTAGTCACATCATCCTCACATTCTGCACAACCTAGATCGAGAAGAGAACAGAAGCCTCCTTACTTATGCATATACAGTCTCTCAAAAGTCCAATTATATAGCGGCATTGCATGTCTTGGCATTTTTGGTACACATTAAATCATAGGTCGAGCCCTATGGAGACGCCAAAATATTTAGTGAAGCTGGTGTGGGCAACAGTGTTGGGTTTGGCACCTCCCTTGGTCGAGGTGCACCAGTCTCCAACACAAAATTATCGGCCTCCACCATCTTCACCAGTAAGATAGCTGCACAAAAGAGCGCCATCAAAACCGTTTTCGTGAGCATTTCGATTCGTGGTGTCCGAGATGTGGGCTGCTGAGGGAGAAAGACGTGTGTTTATGATTATCTGGGCGAGCGCTTGAATGGACTATTATGAGCCAGCGTTTTCTTTGATGCCGTTGAAAAAGACAATGCGTGTGTGGCAAATATTCAGGATGATAATTTTAGAAACTATATAAGAAAGGACAGAGAAGAAAAGGTAGAGATTATATATGAAGATAAGGCAGTGCCCACGACACTAAATATTTGAGTACACTCTACGGCTTCCCCTGAAATTTCCGCCGGTTCAGGGAGCCGCTCCTTCGTGGGGATGCATCGAAAATATAACAATAAAGACATCGCGAAAACATACCGAACATTTTGAATCATTAATTAAACAAGGCTAGAAGGGGGTCACCCCCTTGAAGGAAAGCACACGAGTAGACTGAGCAACATTGGTGGGTGCGTGGTGGATTGGAAGGGGTTACCCAACGGTGCAACACACGTGGTGTTATGTCTACAGCCTCCCATCCTATTTTTAACGGTTCAGGGAGCCGCTCCTTCGTGGGGATGTATAAAAGATAATAATTCACATAGTAAAACAATAATAATAACCTGAACTATGTTGAAATACCAACCCATTAATTAATTTAAGTTAGAGGGTTGGCAAGAGTGCTATTGGAACATCTGAAAGAATAAATGCTGTGGTAATGACGAAGGACGATCGCCACCTCCGCGGCGGGGCGGCTTCGACGAAGGTCTGGCTCTAGCCCCTATCGCTACCCCCTCTCCTTTGACGGCCTACAACAGCACGGCTGTCATCAGCCCAGACACGACGCCGATAAACAGCGGACCGGAGACACGAGAGGCTCCCTGGTAGGATAATACACACTCGTTGCTGTTTGGGCTTACTTCATACCCGGGTTCGCAGTTTTGACAAATCTTACCGTTCGGGCTGCATCTTTGGCATTTTTCAATTTCACAGTGACTATTTTTCCCCCACGTTGGCCCATCCACTGTCTTTGATCGATTTGTCGGGATTAGAATAGGTGGTGGTGTTGGTTTCACCTCATGCGTCGGCGGAGGGGGGGGGGGAGGGGGTGTGTATATGCACTTTTTGTCATCATTAAGAATGTAGTCGTTGGAGAGGCAAACCTTGCACTTGTTCCGATCTGATGGGGTGCATATCCAACAGTTATCTACGTCACATGGTGGTTTCACATCTGTGTTGTATCCTCTCAAAGAGTCCACTACAACAGTGCACGCCGGCAGTTGGTACTTACCGTCATTACATACGCATCTGCAGCCGTCTGACGACTCGGGCACCGTAAAATGATTCGGCATGCAGGACGAGTACGCACACTTATCGTTATCGAACTTGTCATCTCGCGTGACAACCTTGTCCACGGGAAATCCCTGTTGTTCGAAGTTGTTCACCCTGAGTTCATCCCCGTTCATTTCGATATTGGCATACAGATGCGAGTCTCCATCGACAGTGAAAGCTTTGCTATTGCTACCTGTTGCAAGCAGAGAACCCTGAGCCTTTATTTGAACAAACGATACAAGTGAAGCCTCCGACACAACAAACCTCTCGAAACTGAACAGGTTACCAGACCCTAGCTCACAGTCCTTAACAAGATAAAGTGAGGCACCACTAACAGAAATACTGCCGCTACTCGCAAGGATCCCCGGATTGTCGTCCATCTTGATATGGCTTATACGAAACATACTAGACCCACTTACCGAAATCTGTGGTAACACCACTGCTGCCTTGGAGCAGCCCGAGCACGAGACCCAATCGATCCCAACAGACGAGCCACCAGAAATCGTCAGGACATCTATGTTGTTTGAAGCAAAGATACTCGACGCATTCACCGCGCTCGTGTTAAGCACGAAGAGTCCAGACGCACCGTCTATACTGCTAATTTCACTGCCTGTGAACTCCACGACGACACCTCCTTTATCATTAGGACCTTCCCATGTGACATTGGTCCCCTCTATAAGTAGCACAACATTTCTGCTTAGGTACAGACCTTCAAATTTGAAGAGCGCCCTCCCGTACCTCATCACACCCGATGTCGACATGATGGAAATAAACGAGTTTGGGGGCATCATTCGTGTAAAACAGATCTCAGAGTCCGTCACAACTGTGTTTTCTATTTTCATATTGAATCTCACATTTAATGAATCCGCTTCTCCAGAAAGACCCAGTACCTTCAGACCACTTCCTAGAACTTTTCCGTCAATAATATTCGCATTTACAGTCCCCTGCACCTCGCTCAATCCGGTGAGATTTAACACGTCACCATTGTATGTTTGTGAGACATGACTAAAACCGGCATTAAT